TCGGCCCATACCCTTGGTCGACCTGTTCCTTCTTCTCCTCTCCCTCACTTCCATGCCTCCTTCTCTCTGCAACTCCCTTTCTCTCTCCTTGTTCGTTTCATCTCGGTTTCACTTCCCTACCTTCCCGGGCACGGCTCCAGGGAACGTACTCACCCTATGTGCCACCACCCTTCCCTCCCACCATTCATCTCTAAACCGGCGAATTATTAGAATTATTAGACATTATATTGGCCGCAAAATGTCCGTTAAACCGCCAGAACTCAATTGTAAATTAAGATTTCTGATAATGCCGTGAGATGTATGTGTTCCAAACTTAGCAGCTATTATTAAAGTTCTAGATTCATATATTAGTGGGATTTGTTCCCTGAATCTATTCGAAGAAGTATCGGATTGTCTTATGTATGTGTAATACAGTGCAAGTCAATTTAAATATAACAAAATATAAAGCAATCTCGAACCTATTGATACATATCTGTTAATTATACAATAAATTTAGATGTATTCAAATATTTGATCAAAGTGTCGATGTTTTGAAACAAAATAAAAGCGAATATAAAATACGATATTCGTAAGGAATCCGAGAAGAGAACTCAATGTCAAAGCTCAATAAAGTATGAGTGTCTTGGCTAGTGCAAACGAATCTTAACGAGCACTCCTAAAACGCATGGAGATATAATTTGTGCTCGAATCGAAAATGATTCAGCACTCGTGGAAATAACAGATACTAACCGAGAATTATGAGCGCATCGTTACGAATACGTGTAATATTTGCAGCAGCAAGAGCAACATCAGCGAGGCTTTTGCATTTCTCCTTCTCTATCCTACACGCCCGTTCTCCATTTCTCTTTCGGCCAACCAACCACCTCACAGTTCGTTTCCGTGTTGTTACATAATACACGCTGCGGCGCGGTTACGTGGATGAGGGATGAGGTGCTGCGTTGCCTAATAACCTCCCCTTTGCACAACACCCCCTCAAACCCGACTGAATCCTCCTCCAACCCCCTTGTTATACCAAGCGCACAGGATACGATGGTATTTGCGAGCGGTGCATGCAACTACGGGCAAACCACCCTGCAAGAGCACGACGATATAGAAACACCGCTAGAACATCGCTGACGAGAGAGAGAGAGAGAGAGAGAGAGAGGAGGAGGAGGAGGAGGAGGAGGAGGAGAAGGAGAAGGAGAAGGAGGAAGAGGAGGAGAAACACGAGGAGGAGAAAAGGGAGGAAGTATCTGAGGGCACCAGGTTACGGAGAGAGAAGCGTGAAGTAATTATATGAGGGCGGAGCACGCTAGGCTCATCTACACCTAACACATTCATATCAGTCGGCCCGAGCCAAGGAGCTGCTGAAACGTGAAGCTCGTACATCAGGATTTCGTTGCTGGGATAGTAGACTCCTCGAGGAGAATTGCAGAATGAGTTTTCACACAGCGAAACCTATTGCTGATTCCTTCTTATGAAATAAAAAAAATTCTCAACGTGTGGCACACTCATCTTTTCATTAATATATTATAGAAAAATGTGTTGTGAATCGAAAAATTATTCGATAACAAATACAAATGTATTACGAGGTTTATAAACAATAAAAATTTGATAAAAAGACTTTAAAAGAAAGACACGAATTATGTAGTCGAGGACAAAAAACTGTGCCACTAGAAAGCCACCGAATCAAGAAACTTGTGAATAAAATTTCTCATAATATCTAACCATCAACGAGAAATCATTGCACAGGGTAGAAAAGAGGTAGGTGGAAAGATTAAAGAAGCAAAAGAAAGATGGCGCGGAGGAAGGAGAATAGTGTTATACATTTAAGTGAATACACCTATATAGAGGGACTTACTGGGATTCAATTACCGCAACGTCTGCAAAGCACGCTATTCCCACACCCTTAAAAGACTACCCCTCGCGTTGTGCGCGTCCCTACCTTTCCATCTCCTCAAGAACGAACAGGTGCTCTTGTGCCTGCTGTAAATTGTTCCCCCTGTAATCCAAAGTAAAGCGGTCGTTTTATCCGCGCCATGGCGAGATGGATGCCTCGCTACGTCTTTTCACGTAATAGATTGCAGCTACGCAGCTAATGCTCTCGGTTTTGATCAAAATGTTTTTTACCGACTTGAGAATGAATTTTAATTGATACTTAGTCAACGTTAACGGTACATATCTAAAAACGTAGCGGTTTATACAACAGAATAAAAAATAATGCTTTCAACTAGATAAAAACATCAAAAGTTACTTTAAAACTAATAATCTAAAAATAATGTATAAAATATGAAATTTTAATACAAGTTTTATTTTATTTCTTTTAGATAAATTTTAGATTTGATCGTAAAATTACAAAAGAATTACAAAAAAAATCTAGTAATAAAACCCACATCTAGTGCCTTCAAATCTGTTTAAAAAAAATTTTTTTTTTAAGATAATTATCTCGGTTTAATACAATAATACATAACCGATTAAATTAATTTTATATACGCGTATATTTTTGAATAGTTGATTTTTATCTTTATTTATATTGGATAAATTTTAATACATTTTTTATTAAACAGCACCGATTTTCGAAAAATGTAATTTAATTTTTCTGATTTGAGATAATAACGTTCAGTATGAAAGCACGTGTGTAATAGGATTTCCAAAACGTGATTTTCGAGGATCGGTTTCGCCCTTAAGATTAAAGAACCAGGGATCACACGGAGTTATAACTAAGGATCAGAGAATAGGAAGTGTTGCGTGAGACCAATAGCAAACTTATGCCTAGATCGGTTATGTACCTTCGTTCGGTTCGAACATAGGTACATAATTCATCGGGCGTGCACCATTGTCGGGAGCTTCATTAATACAAATGGCGTCTGCTGAATTCTGCCCCCAACCGCTCCCCGCTACGTGTACGATAGTAACGAGAGCTTCCGTCTGTACATGTGGGTACGCGATTGTGTATGCTCGTGCGTGTTAGCGTACGTACATAGGAATAGCGAACGATAGAGGCATCCACCGTGCTATGCTGAACGTGTGTGCCACCCCTGGAGACGCCGAGACACGCGGGACATATTTTTGCAGTCCTTGTCGACTTTCATGAGGGAGTCTTTCCGCAATAACATATTAATATCCCCGAGCGTCGCGAGACTTATGGCTGTCCGTGGAAAGCTCAACTCTGGATCAACGTGGCGCCCGTTAAGGCGGTTCCATCCTGTATCGCGATGACACCGCCTAACGAGTGCTTTAAGTGCCGTAAAGCAAGCGCCGCACGTCCTCTACTTTCTACATCGTAATATCGTTAAGGAATTGTTAACGAAACGCGCGGTAGAAAATTTCGCTCGCGTTAAAGTAATATTTTTGTTGATGACAAGAGTAACGAGATCAAAGAATCATACTATATATCTTACTGTCGATTCAGAAAATATCATCATATGGTTACTATGTAAAGATCGATCATATTCGCGACGTAATAATAATCGAACGTATTAATTCTTAAAATTTGATTCATATCGCGGAAAAGTAACAAATAATAGGATCAAGGAAAGTGCAGATCTGGTACGGGATAAGCTGCTGCGGCCAGGGCCGCAGGCAATGAAGCGTAAGACGTGGAATTAAGTTTACATCGCATTTATTTTTTTTTAGCAATCGTATAATCAATGTAATATTACAATAGCGTTCAAAACGACAACCGTCCCGAAAAACGCCGAAATATTATAATCTTAGTCGTAGGCAGCTAGTGCGGCCCTGGTCGCTGTCGGATTACATACAATCAGGATTCAGATTTGTAAATAGTTAGTATCCTAATATATTACAAAAAAAGAGAAGAATTTATCACGCGGAACATTTACACAAATAACTAGCACTACGCATAGGTAACGCCTATATCCCTCAACAGGACTATGTACCTGTAAACTGATAACGTACAGCACAGCAGAGCAATGAAATATTTGTTTCGAGAGATCCACAAAATAAATAACTATTAACATTACATACCTCTTAGAAATACTGCGTTTACGTATTATTCTCACATCCTCTCTTAGCGGCTATTCGTATACATTCATTAACTAGAATAGAGTTGCTTTATAGGATAACGCCACAAATCTCTTTAGAGCAGGCGTCTAGGTACTAGATAGAATACATACATTACAATATTCGCATTTGTAATCCGTCTTTTCGTCTTACTTTTCTCAGATTAAATAAAAGAAACGTTTTCTCTCTCTCTCTCTCTCTCACTCTCTCTCTCTCTCTTTCTTTCTCTCTCTCTCTCTCTCTCTCTCTCTCTCTCTCTCTCTCTCTCTCACTTTTTCTCTAAAAGATCCTTTCTAAATTTATTTTAAAAGAGATATCCATCTCGAGATCGCGCACTCTTGACCGCTTTAGCAGGTACTTAAGCAGACGCACATCATAAACGTTTCTATATAACATTAACAAAATCATCGAATATCGATATATTATATATATATATTTTGTACCAATCGAAAGAATTACATTTCCATCATTAGTCTCACTTGCTGCCGGTATACGTTTTCAAATAATAATTCTAAGTAATAACGAAATGAAATAAAACAGTCTTTTTATAACAAATGAGCGAAAATTACTATTAGCAAAGCGAAAGTGGTAACAATATAAACGCACTCTCACATTGCTCGCAAATAATAAAAAAATAACAAAAACATAACATTAACAGACAAAATCGTTCTAGTTTACTTTCTCTCTTTCTTGCGAGGCTGTATCGAGTGCGCATTTTCGAGAGAAAATATATTAAGTAATAGAAAATGAGGAGAATCGTGCTAATAGCAGTTTTGTACATTGAATTACGATAAAGAGTCGTGCCTCCACTAAGTTCATCGCGAACTAATCGTTAACATCGACTCGATATCGTCCATCGAGAGAGTTAGATGCTTTTTACGTTCTATATTAACCCTATAAATAGTTGTAGCCTTTTCGTTACGTATCTCAGTTTCTAAGTTGCGCACAACCTATCGCAATGCACATCGGGAGAACGTGACTCTGTTTTCGGTCGATTTTTCGCAAACGACACCCCGGATCCGCGGCTGATTGGCCACCCTCGATAATTCAATCCCCTATCTACATGCTACTGCACCAAAGCAGAAACTACAGGTAGAGAGACCAGAAAGGGGAACGACTACAACAGAGCTAGGCTTATATGGATGATACTGTGTACTTGGATACTGATTGGTCTGGGAGCATATCGGTCAAAGTGAGCTACGGGAGGTAGCCATGGTGGGGAAGGTTCGTCACTCACCGGGTGCAGCATCCGATTCGCCGCAACCGATAAATTGACGATCGACAGATACGCACATCGACCATCTATTTGGCATTGCAGAGACAGCGGGTGCAGCCTGCCACTCACCTGAAGCATAAACAGAAACGACAGTGTTAGCTTATTCTACATGCTATCATAAATTAGAATGCATTAAATTTTTAATGCTGAGCGGTAAATATAATTTTACGCGCATTAACAAAGTACAGAACAAACTATATCGAGAAGAAATTATAATACTAATGAGCAATTTACAATATTATTAAAATATAATATATATATACACAAGTTGTCGATTGATTGTTTACTTTTGTTATAATGGTCAGATTAAAATTTCCAATGTAAAATGTTAAAACTTCTTAAAACTATAAAAGATCTCAATTTCTTTTTAGAGAGCGAGATCATCACGTAGGACCAACGGTTTGAGAGTTTGACTTAGGACATTTATATATACAACATGCTAGGGAAGCGATGGGTCGGGCCACGAATGCTAGTTCAGCTTCTTTTGTAATAGAATGAATGCACATGGTGCCTTGTCTGGTCACATGCACGTTGAGTCTGAGTTTTAGTAGTGTTAGTATCTCGGGATATCAATAGTTCACGTTAAGAGCGAAAGGGTTAGTCTAGGTCTCATGGGGAATGAGAGAGAGAAGAACTTTACATCACTATAATTCCATTTCATTTTGTTGCGTTTACACGATCAATATTACATAAGAAAGAGTTATATAAAACAACAAAAATTGTAATAATTATATCTATTTAAAAATATCTTACTTGATTACGCTATACATACGTAAGATGTAAATTATAAAACTATAAGTTTTATGTAAGCACAGAACTTTTAAATGTGTGTTACGTAGAAGTTATTTTCGTGACATATACGTGTACACACATTCTACTATTTATAATAAATAATTACATTTCCAACTAAATTTTTACGTATCATTAGATATAAGAAGGAAATCAATAAATTTATATATTCAGGAGGAGGGATATTTTCAGATTATTAGAGTTGCGTTGCAAGACCGAAATCTTTCGGCGCGCAATAATTAGGGAGAGGAGACATTTAAAAATCAGATTATTACAGTTGCGTTGCAAGACCGACAATTGTTCGGTGCGCAATTTGGGGGGACTATACATATATTAATAGAACGTTATTTCCTACTTTGGATAAATATTGCGAAGAATATCACTACGTCGATTCGCCATCAGAGGTCTATCGATATTCGTAAATTCTCGTAAGTGCTGAGACACGCGTATATCTCTTTATATAGAATCTCGATTCAATAACTTACCAAGGCGTATAAGGTAGGCTTCCACTACAATGCCTTACTGATGAGTCCAGCAGTGGAAGCCGGGACGAAACACCAAAAATTACGTGATATTCTTCGCAATATATAATATTAGAATAAATTATCAGATTTAGATTTTAAAATTGTAATTTGACTCTTATTCTCCCTGTTTAACATATTAATTATTATTATATATATATATTTATAAAATATAAAATATCACAGTGACACTCTGGATACAATAAACAGTTGTCAGGAGACACGGTAGTGTCTTGGCGCTAAGACGAGTCTAGAATTTACTTCAAACTCGCACAACCCTTGTTACTTGGAAATTGTTTACATACGCTTGTATCTCATTTGAGCCGTCGCTGCACCGCGCCGTTTGCTGTTCGGCCTAGAATTACTTCGCCCTTCCAAGAGTACGCAACAGTACTCTGAAACTGAGCCTGGCGATACATACCTAAGCATCCTTCCTGTGCGCATTTATCAGGATTTCCGAAGGAGAAACTAGAGTTTTTAAGCCGCCATAAATTCTCATACTTAAAACTCGCAAAAACCAGAAACACGATTCTCGATATGGCTCGCTGCAAAACAACGTCGTGCGCGCGTTTTATGTAATTCGCCGGGACACTTCTATCGAGAAGTAAAAATAACTTGAAAATGATAATTTTGTGAAAGTCGCATACATGATATAAGTTCACATCAGTATAGAATATATATCATAAAAGTGAATGTAATCCTATTTTTCCCATTCGAATAAATCTTAACCGGTTCTCTTTCTCCATCTGCGATATCGGTGCGATCTATTTAATCAGATTACAGGAAACGTTCAAGAAATAAGCCGCAAAAGATAAAAAGATAGCATCTGGCTCTTTATATGTATACACATACATATACGAATATGCGCGCGTACGCGTGTATTTTGTGCGAATGCGTGTCTGGAAAAGAGAAAGACAAAAGGGTTGAGAAGAGGTGTGAGAGGGAGTGGAATTGAGCACGGAGCAGTTATTATCTATCGCTCTCGTTACCACAGGTTGCTCGTAAACCGGCCGCATCAAGGGGATGGGGCAAAGTGGGATGGAGCGTAGAAGCATAGGTAGATAGGTAGATACCAGTACTCATATCGTCGTCGTCATCGTCCCGTACTCGCATAGCACCAGGGGTGAAGCCCCACTCCGGGCTATACTCATTGGTTACCCCTGCAGAATATCACGCGGAGTGCGAACGGACGGCTGTGTCTAGGGGGCTGTTCGAAAATCTCGGCTTGCCATTCTCTATGCTTGGTCGATCGTGAATGAAAATCAAGGTTGACCCGCCTCTTTTTCATGCTGTTCAATTTTAATTATATATGTAGGAACTCTATCTGAGTTATTCTTTAGCGCAATTATCATCCATTGATAATGGAACACAAACGCGTAAATATTTAATTTTTTTTTTCAAATATTTTCAAATTTATTCAAGGTTAATATTATCAAAAATATATTTAAAAATATGTAGTTACATTAGAATAATGTTACCGTTTGAACACTTTTTAGTCAAATTGATTGTAATCGATATATAACAATAATAATTATATAAATTTTTTTTTCAATTATTATTACTTCTATTAGGTAAAGTTAAATAATTTATTTGAAATATACAAATTATTCAGGTACTATGACAAAAATAAAACGTTATAATACAGAATAGTAAATTCCCATCCATCTTAAGTTTGTCAGATACACAGCCTCTGAAAAGATATATTAATTCGCACGCCGTAGGTATGTAGAAACCGTAGCGGCAAAAATATGCGATTATAATAATTATATAAATATTTTTTTCAATTATTATTACTTCTATTAGGTAAAGTTAAATAATTTATTTGAAATATACAAATTATTCAGGTACTATGACAAAAATAAAACGTTATAATACAGAATAGTAAATTCCCATCCATCTTAAGTTTGTCAGATACACAGCCTCTGAAAAGATATATTAATTCGCACGCCGTAGGTATGTAGAAACCGTAGCGGCAAAAATATGCGATTTCTCAAGGGCAGAACAGATACATACACCTATGGATGCATACATCGTCGAAGCTGTGGCTGACGGGCCGGGTGGATGGCACGGAGAGGGGTTTGGATTGAGATCGAGTCAGAATTTTTTGCCAGGACGGCGTTGAATGAACGCGAGTGCGCGAAACCCCCGCGGAGCAACAGTGCGCTCGTCCCGCGACAGGGGGCAGCACTACCATTGCACTATACCGATATTGTGTAGCGTGTAGTTGCTACGAGCAGCCGCTGCACCAGGAACTCATAAATCTCCCGGGATATAGATGGCTCTAGTGTCGCGTGAGGTTGCAAGCTACCCCATGCAGGGTGCCGTGAAACGCCCTCCCATCCCTATCCTATCCCTTCACCCGGCCCACTTCATCGTTCCTCTCGCTCTCTCGTCGTCGCCCATCCATTCCATGACCGAATTACTGGAATCCCACCTTCCGGACCGAAGGTGGACTTTTCGAAAAACGAACGACGCTCGTTCTTCAATACTAATCAAAATGCATGGATATTTCGAACTCGGTCTCGGTGCGCTTAAAGATTCATTAGTACTGCATAAAACACCTCTTCACCAGATCAAATAGAATCACTTTTAAATGATGAATTATTGGAAAATAAATAAGCTAGAAGGGAGCTAGTACATCGGCATGTAAACTATGTTGTATTGTCTTCAAATACTTGGTTTCAAAAATTTATTAGTGTTGCTGACATCGACAGTTTAAAAATATGAACATGCCATCATGTTTTCAATGGCTGAGTATGGCCATGCATTAAAGTTGAGTTGTATAATGAAAATAGTAAAAAGAATAATAACGAGATAAAAGTGTAATACAATTTACTAAAAAATTCTTTTATTAAAGATAATAATAATGTTATTAATGTAATAAAAATGTTATTGTAAAATAAAAAATTTAAAAAAGATTTGATGTGTGCGTGAATAGAGTAAAGAAGGGATAAACAAAAATATTTAGCTTCTAATTTTTTCTTTATGCCCCCTGCTGTATTTACACCGTAGATATAACCGAAATATTTGAAGAGAAATATTTCTGTTGTATCTTTTTCACACCAATAAGATGATATCATTAAAATAAAGAAATGTTCCAGATATTGTTTTACAATAATATATGTTGTTGGAAATCGTAATATTCGCAAGATTGTATAAAAATCCTAACAATTTTTATGACCAAATAAAACTTAAATTCAACTGATTTGAAATATTAATTAATGACGAGAATATATGAAAAAGAAAACTCAGAATAAGTAAAAAAAATTAAAAGTACGTCTTTAATAACAAGAAAGAATTATGTGTTGATATGACTTTAGTGTAGGAATAAAACAAGTATATGGAGTAGCTTGAAGGAAAAAGAGAGAGATGAAAGAAAGGAGAAAAAACAGAATAAACGGAAGATCCAGGGACCAAACAGCCAGCCAGCTAGCTAGCTAACCAGCCAACCAGCCAGCCAGCCAGTTAATCAGAGAAAGAAGAGAAGGCGACACCGATGATGAATCACTCGTTAGAAATGAGTGGGAGCGAAAGAGAAAAAGGGAAAAGAAAAAGCAATAAGAAAATACCCATGCAAAAAATGCACTACGTTGGAACGCGCTAAAGCGAGTCGCTAACTGACTTATCTAGACATCAGAATCTGCGACTCGTTCTCCTGACTTCGCGAGCACAGCGAGGTTTGAACATTTCAGACACTAGCTGTAATAAAATTTTGGAGTGTCACTCACTAGTTGAAAGTATTGGCAACCAATAATACAA